CTGACAGCTCAGAGCCTGGAGCCTGCTTCGGATTCTGTGTCTCCCTCTCTCTCTCCTGCTCATGCTCTGTCTCTCTCTGTCTCAAAAATAAGTAAAAACATTTAAAAAAATTAAAAAAAAATAAACAGGGGCACAAAAAGTAAAAGAACAGTCCATAGAGATTAATTCATGGAACAAATGATTTTTAAAATTATGCAAGTAATATATGATGACTGTAGAAAAAGTAGAAAAATATAGATAAACACATAAAAAGTTAAAAGTACAATAAGTCTATCTTATCCTTATCATATAAACAAATGTTAAAATGTCTATCCAGGGGCGCCTGGGTGGCGCAGTTGGTTAAGCGTCCGACTTCAGCCAGGTCACGATCTCGCGGTCCGTGGGTTCGAGCCCCACGTCAGGCTCTAGGCTGATGGCTCAGAGCCTGGAGCCTGTTTCCGATTCTGTGTCTCCCTCTCTCTCTGCCCCTCCCCCGTTCATGCTCTGTCTCTCTCTGTCCCAAAAATAAATAAAACGTTGAAAAAAAAATTAAAATGTCTATCCAAACCAAGTGTGGTGTGGCACCTGGGTGACTCGGTTAAGTGTCAGATTCTTGATCTCAGCTCAGTCTTGATCTCAGGGTTGTGAGTTCAGTCCCCACATTGGGCTCCATGCTGGGTGTGGAGCCTACTGAAAACAAACAAACAAAAGGAAACAAAACAAGTGTGGATGAGTTTGTAGAACATGAACTTATACATGATTGGTGGAATTGTGATCTGGTACAGCCACTTTGGAGAACAACTGAGGAATATCCCCCTAAAATTGAGGATGTGCCCATGTTATAATCCAACAGTTTCACATCTAGGTATGTACCTTAGAGAAATTCTCAAGCACATGCACAGGTAGACATGTACAAGAATGTTCACAGAAATACCCTGTTAGTGAAAAATTGGCAGTGACATAAATCTCCACCAACAGAAGGATAAAGTGCTGAATAAATATCAAACAAGGAAATGATTTGTATATATGTATTAGAAACACATTAGTAATCTGTTTAGTACTGACTGCTCTAACTAATCCAAACTTGTTTCCTAGGAGTTTTTATGCCCATTGGTTTGGTTTTGCAGCCCTGGATGGGATCTGCTGCAATGGCTGCTTCATCTGTTTCAGTAGTACTTTCTTCTCTCTTCCTTAAACTGTAAGTATGATGGCTTGCTCATGTTTGTATTTTATGTTCATTTTATCATCCACAGTCAGTTCTTGGTAGGTCTTATTCTTGTATGATAGGCCAAGACTATTCTTAATAATAAATGTTAGCTATATAATTATCATCTTATGTAGTCTTTACCTAGCAAGCATAAGCACTGAGTGGGGTAAAATGTAGTACATTGGCTTCTGAGAAGTAGAATTTCTGATCATGTGACCCCATACATATTTTTTTTTGAGCCACTTTCCTAGCAGGGACTCCCTTTGTAGATCTTCGTACCAGGCAAATATACTTTCATTTTTGAACATAAAAAGTGTCTAGTTCACATTTGGTTATTTCAAACTAGTGTCCTTTTGCATGTGTTCAGTTATAGAAAACCAACTTATGAGAATTATGAACTGCATGCCCGCAGCCACATGGGACAGAAAAGGCCTTCGGAAATCAGCGTTCATGTTGGAATAGATGACACCTCAAGAAATTCTCCTAAACTGGGTTTGCTGGACCGGATTGTTAATTACAGCAGAGCCTCCATAAATTCACTACTGTCTGATAAACGGTCCCTAAACAGCATTGGTACCAGTGAACCTGACAAGCATTCACTTCTGGTGGGAGACTGCAGGGAAGATGATGATACCACATTGTAACAGGCTGCAGAGAGTGCTACTAGCCGATGTTGTTATGCACTGACACAGCATTAGTGATGTTACCTTAACTTTTCAAAATATTGTGGAAGGATTTTATATTGGTCTCATGCCCTGATGTTAAGGATTCTATTTGCATTGCATTTGTCTAATGGCAGAAATATATTTTTTCAGAGTTAGCTCTGAACCTAGCTTTATTTAAAATGAATCTCCAGCCCTTTTTGTTTTCACTAGTAACAGATAAGGTAGACCAGTGAGGTTTACAACAAGTCCTACAATTGAAGATTACTCAATTGCTGCTAAAGTGATAATGTTTTTTATTTGACCAAAAAGAAAAGGCTCAAGAAAAAGGATAATTTAAAAGTTTCAAGATCTGAGAGCATGATCTTGAGGACATTCTTGAGCTCTCATCCCTGTCAGGTTGGGGAATAATGGCTTTTAAAACCCTGTAAAGCATCTGGGTTTAGAAGGAAAACAGTTAGAAACTGTTTAAAAATAGATGTGCCTTATTTATTACAGGCTTTCTTCCCCCTTATTCTCCCTGCATCTTTGTCTTTGCAATTGCCCTAGTTTGTTTTTTTGTTGTTCTTTCAGCTGAGCTAAGTGTAGGTGATTGATTGATAAAAATAAATGACAACTTTTCCAATATCTTTTTCCTTTCTTTATCTTGTAACCCAAAAAGACCTTAAGGATCCATAGGGTCCCTTGCTTCCTATCTTTCCATTGTTGTAAAAAAATAGATCAGATTCTTCATTCAGTGACTCTCTAGCTCTGTACAGGCTTTTAATTCACTCCTGACGAGTTCCACTCTAAATTGTTCTTAGTCTATCAGCCTCAGTCCAGAAGCCTAAAATGTTGAGCCTCTTCTACAATTAACTTTTTCGAAGATTAACACTACCATCCTTGACATATACGGGTCATGTGAAATTACCTAGATTCACTAAATTTGCCCTTTTTTGGGAGAGAATACAAGACGGTAGCTGGTATATATAATTTAATAGATTTTAAATATATTTTAGTATTTTAGATGACCTCTCAAAATGACTTTAAAATAATGCTATTACACAAAGCTGCATTTACCAAAAAAACATAACAAATTTGTAATATAGAAATGAGAATTTCTCTAGGTTGTGATACCTTTTAGCCAAGTCTATACTTTTCTCTAGTTTAAAACATTTGCACTTGCTAGTAAGTGTGGTTTGCAAATTCAGGGGCTGTTTTCAGTGCCATACACATTTAGAAATTCCACTCTGAGTGCCTAGGAGTTAATACACTGATCAGAGATCTCGTACTTGTATCACTATTTAAATTCCTCATTTATTGCAAGATGGATTTCAGATGCAGATTATGGAAGTGAAAATAAATAAGTAAGTTCCTAATACTTTGTTCCCATTGCCATATGTAAAGCTGTTGGAACAATGCCTAGCACATAGGATTTGTATTCAGTAAATGTTATTTCTTTTCTTCCCTTGAGGTCAGTAATAAATAATTAATAATAATTTTCTTAGGGCAGAATCTAAAATCAGGTGGGATTGGGGAATGGGTTTCTTCCTCTCCTACTTCTTTTCTCTCTTCTCCTTTCATACACACACAAAAAAGTTTATAACATTATTCCATCCTGTCTTTTCAGATTTGGAAAAAATCTCATTTTTATCTCAACTATCTTTTTTTTTCTTTTCAAATTTTTATTTAAATTCCAGTTAGGTAACATACAATGCAATATTGGTTTCAGGAGTAGAATTCAGTGATTCATCTTTTAAATGCAACACCCAGTTATCTCAAGTATCTTAAAGAGAGAATTGAAACTATTGATGAAGGTGCTATTAATCTAGAAAGGCAAACCCATTTTAATGAAATATGAATGTATATCTAGGCTCTTTTTTAGACCAATGCCTATGTCATCTTCCATGCTTCCACTTTGAATTTTAATATTTGTTTTTTATTTTAATTCTGGTGGTCTGTCATATCACAATTTGTTTCTTCTAGAAGAAACAGCCAATATGATAAATGTATAATAGACTTTTGGAAAAAGAAGCACCTTTCTCTCTTTCTCCTTTACTCTTTTCTGTGTCTCTGAAACACTTGAACATAGACAGTTACTACTTTTTATTATTATGTTGTTTTTGAGTTGTCCTTTTGTCCCCCACTTGCCAAAGGACCCACATGACCTAAGATAGCAAGAAGAGCAACCTATAGTCTGGGAAAAATCAAGAATTTAATTTCACCTCTTACTATCAGAACAGAAAACATGTTGTTTAGAAAGAATCCTATTTTAAGTATCTGTAGTATCTTTGAATTCCCTACCATAAGTCTCTTTTGTAATCCTGAACTCCTATTAGCTTCATAGAGCAGCTGTATTCACAGGAGAGATGATCTAGGAACAGGATCAAAAACATTGCTTTCAGTTAGTAACTAGCTTTAAGTAACCAGTTACTTGTGAGAACAAATGTTATAAATGTAGATGTGTGTATGTGTTTCTCTGTTTATATACACACATACATATGTACGCACATATTTACCATATAGAGGAAAATGGGTTTATATTTGAATTTGATGTTTGAATATTTGAAATTCCTTATATGTTGTTCCTTTATCACTCTTCTGTATTCACTCAGCACCCATGCCCTCAGTCTGAAGATAACAAGGATGTTTTGATATCCAGTGCTGGTTCTGATTCAACTATGGGGCACCTTTTATCTTAAATATCCAAAGATGCCTTTTGAATTTCAAAGGTTAAAAACACAGCTAGAATATTTAATGTTATAGTCTAAAGAAGTATGGTGGTCAGTGGTGAAAATAGAAGTGATATTTTTCCTAGTTTAGTATCAGCATTTTAGAGTGTTAAATTTGATGCCTTGTGAACAAAAAATTTTATACTGTGCTTTAACTTTTTAAAAGCTTGTTTCTTTTTTCAGATGTATTCTTTGTTCAGAATGCTTAAAATAGCACTATAGACAAGATGTTTCCAAAAATTTAAGTGTGCGTATCTTTTATGTACACAGCTTAAAATCAAGAATACATGTTTTTTGAGAATTTTTCTCCATTACTTGTGAATCTTGCTTTAAAATTATTTTTTTCCTGATATTTATTTTACTCTATTTTGTTACTTTCTTTGGGTGAGGCATCTGGTTATTGGTTATTTTAATAAGAATAAAAACATTCCTGCAATCACTCCCTTTGGATTTTTGGTTATTTCTTTTCTATATTTAAAATATGTAATCAAATATAAACAATATAGATTCATGCCAAATTATTAGCTGTTTTTAGACTGTTTCTGTAGTCCCTCTGAAAATTTATCTGGTATGAATAACCAGATAAAGCACAAAAGCATGAACTCTTGTTCTTCAGTTAAAGAGCTTCTATAATAGCATTGATAATAGATGCCTTTTGTAGCCAAAACCAGGCATCTCGACCTTATGTTTTCAGTTAAATGTTTAACTGAACATTGTTAAACATTGTTTGGTACCCAAAACAGCAGTGGACAGTGTTGTGCAATAATCATCTGTCATCAAGATATTCAGTAGTTTGTTTTTCCATAAGCATGTAATTGATCATATTTCTGCCAAGGATGTGCCTTCAAATTTGTAATTATAGTATTGTAGAAAAATGTCTTTTTGTCAGTGTCTCTTTTGTTAAACCATTCAATCTTCTGCCAGCAGTTCCAAACTACCCTGTGTTTTTACTTAATTTTTTGACTGTTAATCAGTGATGGGGCAGAATTGGAGACAAGACTACCCATTTGCTAAGAGAGGGAGGGAAGAAAAGTCTGTTTTCCTTTAGTGCCATTCCACCTGCTGTATCATTTCATGAGGATGAAAAACAGAGGAATGTAATTGTCCTCATTTCCTTTGTAGTCTCTAATACATTCTTGATAGATCATCTACCCCAGATGAGCTTAATAGAGGCAAGAGGTTTCCTTGCATTTGGGTGGCCCTATACAGTGTTTGAGGATCCTACCCAAAATATATTCCCATACCAAACACTTTTGTGGGTTAAGGAAAGAGTTTTAAACTTATTGTAAGGAAAAACTCCTTTTTATTTCTCTCCCCCAATCTTGAGAGTATTCAGTTTGGTGAGATAATATTGGAAATAGAAACATAAGATTAAAATCTCTGAACTGTCTCCTTAGCTGGTTGGCCTTCCTCTTCTATTGGTGTCTTAACACTAACCTCCAAGAAGGATGTGCAGTTATAGCAACATCAGAGGTGAGGTCTCAAAACTTTTCAGATAATAAAACAAAGCAAAGCAAAATACCAGAAAACCTTCCTGTTGGGGAATGCTTTTTATGTTAAGGCATTAAAGGCCCTCCTAAAATTCAGACAAGAGGGGTAGAGCTGTATCTGTCACAAATTTTACCTAAGGATGGCGAACCTTACTTGCTTAATAGCTTCCTCTTCGTAGATGTGACCACTACTTGTGGAGATGAATTACAAGTGAGGGATGAAAGGCAAGACTCAAGGACAAAGTTTAAGTGAAGATGCTGCTATATATAGGATCTCATACAATTTAAGAAATCTGAGAGCCCCCTTACAGTCTCCTCTCTAGAAAAATTTGAAATAGGTTGTGTAGTCTTTCACATAATGTATCTATTGCCCTCAAGTGGCCCCCAGCTTTTCATTGTTAGCACCCTGCCCCACGCTCTCAGACCTGTTGATAAACTGAAGGGCTGTCATTACTTCAACATTACTTGCTTCATTCACCTCACCCAATCAAAACTTTTTATTTCTTCATCGCAGTGTTTATCACCAAGTAATAGGGGAAAAACCGAGATTAACTCCATCCATCCTGAAATGCCAATGACCTTTAAATATGGCCAGAAGTATTTGCAATTATTTGGAAAGAATATTTTTAATCCAAATAACTTAATTGAAAAACATCTGGCCTTGTGGAAGAGGTTGTTTTGGGGAAAGTAGATAGACCCCAGGATCAACTTTCCTCAGCTCTTCTTGCTTCTTGCAGCTTTTTACCTTACACTTTTCCATCCACCATTTCTTTAACATCAC